AAACAAATTACTGAAATAAAATTTAACCATATGTTAGTCCCGAAATGACATAGTTTGTGTCGAGTGGACATTAAACCCCATCTCTCTCTCTCTGTCTCTCTTCTAAATACATCCAAAGAGCCCGGAAGAACAGAAGATTATATTGGTGTGGCCTAGTATTGATACCAAATCTCTTGATGATTGAATACAAGATGACAAAAATCTCCCACACGATCCATCAATCATCTTACTAATCAGTCGATATTCCATGTTAAATTAAAATTTACTTTAATTAGGTGAAAAAAAATTAATTAGTATTTGATATTGCCTGTAGATCTATGTCAGGCAGGAGAGAGAGAGAGATCGGGGGACAGAAACTGTGTCATAGTGCAGAAAATATGAGGTATGCATGCCTAGTACAGTTAGTACAGAAAGGTAAAGTGCTATGCCTCATTTAATTTCAGGTTTTCTATCTGGGCCTATTTTAGAGAGAGAGAGAGAGAGAGGAGGGTTTAACATCCACTCCACACATATGGTACTAACATATATGGTACAATTTTATTTCAATAATTCACTTGGAGGCAGGGGTCTTTGACAGTGGGAGGAAATCATATATAATGTATGGTACAATTTTATTTCAATAATTCGCTTGGACGTAGGGGTCTATAGCAGTGGGAGGGAATTCCAACCCTCCCCGTTGCAAATACAAATGTGGGATCGAAGTCAAGCCATTTGGGTTCTTAAGTACATGCGCTAGACCACCGAACTATTAAACCCATGATCAGTTCAACATTCTATTAAGGAGTCATTTGCATTTTTCGGAAAATACTAAAATTAATAGTTCACAAGCGAAAAAAAAAGCTCATTAAATTAATGAAATGAAATGACATGAAATGAAATGGGGTTTAACATCATACTGTTCTGCTCCGAACTGGGCTAATGAAGACGGGCTATGAGGGAAATTTTGCCTTGACAGCGGCACTACTCTTATGTCGAATTCCAACTGTCATGGGATCTTGACCTCGGTTTTTCGGACCATCCAAACGACTAGACAGTTGTCCTCGCCATCAATCATGTGCCCTAACCTTATTTACGTCTCAGCGACCTTGACAAAAATTGAGCTGGCCTTAAGAAATAGATTTAGCATAATACTAGGCCTTATACTTGCGTCTTTGGGGCTTACAATCAACGAGTTGTCCTTGGGCATCATAAAACTTCTACACACTACCGTAACTAGCCTGGAGGTCGATTGTTCGATCCCTGCATTGGCCGAGAAAGTTCATCCAGATTTTCTGGCGTGGTTCCCCCTTGTCAATGATGCAGGACGGAGGGCCTGACAAGGACAGCTGTTTAGTCCTTCGGATGAGACGAAAAACTGAGGCCCTGTGAATACATTGGAATGCACTTAAAAGATCCCTTGGCAGTTGGAATTCGATATAAGAGTAGGCGATAGTGCCGCTGCCCGGGCAAAATTTCCCTCATAGCACACTGTATGGCGTATGCCTGTCTTCATTAGCCCAGCATAGGAGTAGAACAGTAGGACGTTAAACCCCATTTCATTTCATTTCATTTCCTTTCATTTAACTCAAGAAATTAATCTCACCAAATTTTTAATTTCTACAGTTTTTGTTATTCCAGGTAAACAATGAAATAAATGAACTTTTGAACGGTTTATTCTCACCTCACATTGAACTTACCTGTAATCAAGGTTTTACTTTAATCTCAACTCTGACTTGTGATGTCATCGTTTTTAATATTTATATCAACCTTGAGCAACAATAAATATCTCTAATTGAGAAAATGAAAGTAGCCCCGGGCAGATTCATAAAGTTGTTATTGTATTTACGAATGTTGGTGATCGTAAGGTTATTTATTTTATATTGTCACAGACAGGCCTGGAAATAACGATTTTTGATGTACCTGACAAAATGTCAGGCACTAATGAAATAGTACCTGACATTTTCAACTTAGTGCCCGACATGTATTAATAATATCAATAAAAAAGACAAATTAGTGCCGGACAAAATGACAGACATCCGAGGTTTTGTGCCTCACAAAGCCTGAATCTGTGCCTGACATTGTCTGTGACAGGTGCCTTATTTCCAGGCTTGGTCACAGATCTCTGTGTGTACAGCCAATATTATAATAACTCTAGATCGGTTAAAATTTAATTCTTGATCAATGTAACTCTAGGGCTTGTGGTCGGGGTGGTGAAGTGGGGTGAAGGGGTGGTGAAGGGGAGGTGGCTCATTGGAGCTATTTGTTTCCTTAATTTCGTGGATTGGCTGCACAAAATATCAGATGTATTTGTCCCTTAATAATAATTTCACTGGACCGAGAGAGAAAGATGGGGTTTAACGTCCACTCAACATTAGGTCATTTCGGGACTAACATAACACATGGTTCAATTTTATTTCAATAATTCACTTACGCATAGGGGTCTTTAGCAATGAGAGCAAACCGCAGGACCCGTAGAACCTACACCTTGTCACGTACAAACAGGGAATCAAGACCACACCACTTGACTCAATGACAGACCTTCTGATCCATTCCCCAAACCCAAACTGCTCTCTTGTTAAGCTTTAATCATCTTTGTGTGTATAATCAATATAATAACTCAAGGGCACATAGTGGCACAGTGAATAACATGCTTGCTCACTAACCAAGAAGTCTCTGGTTTGATCCTGGTGTTAGTGGAAGAAGTTCCTCAGGATTTTCCAGTATGGTTCCTCCTTATTAGTGATAAAGAATGGAGGACCAGAAAAAAGCAGTGTCTAGTCATTTGGATGGGACAAAAAAACTGAGGTTCCCTGAACACATTGGTACAATGGGTGTTAGTGGAGGAAGTTCCTCAGGATTTTCCAGTATGGTTCCTCCTTATCAGTGATGTAGGATGGAGGTCCTGATAAGAACAGTGTCTAGTCATTTGGATGGGACAAAAAAACTGAGGTCCCCTGAACACATTGGTACAATGGGTGTTAGTGGAGGAAGTTCCTCATGATGGTTCCTCCTTATCAGTGGTGTAGGATGGAAGTCCTGTCTAGTTGTTTGGATGGGACAAAAAAAACTGATTTCAATAATTGCTCCTGGTGTTCCTCAATATATTCAAGTATGGTTTCCCCTTAACCTTGGTGTAGGATGGAGGACCTGACAAGAACAGTGTCTAGTTGTTTAGATGGGACAAAAAAAAACAAACTGAGGTCCTCTGAACACATTAGTACAATTTGATTTCAATAATTGCTCACGGTGTTAGTGGAGAAAGTTCCTTAAGATATTACAGCATGGTTCCCCTTATCAGTGATTTAGTCATTTGGATGGGACAAAAAAAACTGAAGTCCCCTAAACACGTTGATGTACAGGTACAATAAAAAACCTTGACAGTTGTAATTTGAAATAACTGTATATATAGTCCTCCTGTTAGTTGACATAATCTACATAGCGATAAAAGTCAATGACCTTCGACCTTGAATATATACCTGTTAAACACACAAACACACATTGTGGTAAATAACCCAATTAATTCACTTTGTCACAAATTAATTCAAACTGCGTAAAATATACCACAACCAGAAGACATAGGTTGCCAAAATATTCGTCATCAACAGTTTGTGAATTATGGCCGGTGGTTTTTTCATTACTGTGGCTCAGTGAGATAAAGATCCCTTGGCAGTTGGAATTCAATATTAGAGTAGACAAAATTTCCCTCGTAGTACACTGTATGACGTCTTTCTGTCTTCATTAGCCAACTCGGCTAACGAATGACATACTCTTAAATTGAATTCCAACTGCCAGGGGATCTTTTACGTGCACACCATTGTGTACACAGGACCTCGGTTTTTTGTCCCATCCGAAGGACTAGTCAGCTGTCCTTGTCAGGCCCTCCATCCTGCATCACTGGGATTTGATTTTTCGTCCAATCTGAACAAGCAATATCTAATTTTTAAATGGCTTAATGCATACTAAAATGTATTCAGTTTCATTAAGTAGGTTATTTTGAGACTAATATTTGATTCGGTTTTATGGGTCTTTAGCTGTGGGCCCTACTCCTTGTCACGTCCAAGTGTTGACTCAACGACAGACCTTATGATCTAAAGCGCAGACCACCCCACCTCGTCCCATATCATTAAGAAGACAATGGCAGATAACTCCTAGCTAGAAAAAAAATTTCAATTGATTTTGAATTTATCCTGATGTTACATGTATATATGTCTGGGAGCCACGGTGGCTAGTTGGGTAAGACGCTCGCTAGCCTGGAGGTCGGGTGTTCAATCCCTGCATTGGCCGAGAAAGTTCATCGGGATTTTCCGACGTGGTTTCCCCTTGTCAGTGGTGCAGAACGGAGGGCCTGACATGGACAGCTGTCTAGTCGTTCGGATGAGACGAAAAACCGAGGTCCCGTGTATATATTGGAATGCACACTGTATGGCGTATGCCCGTCTTCATTAGCCCAGTATAGGAGCACAACAGTAGGACGTTAAACCCCATTTCATTTCATTTCATTTGTATATATGTCTTTGTAGCTTAGGAGGGACTTATGTAAGATGATTAGTTTTTTTGCCAACTAAATAAGTTGCCCCATTAAATAAAGTTTTTATTATTATTATTATTATTATTAAATAATGGCCAGTGTTTTTTTATTCATTACACTTGATGCCTTGGCCACTTGTCAATTCCAGGAACCTGTCGCGTTTAATCGGCCACGTATGTCAAGTCCAGGTGTTATACCTACAAACAGTCGACCACATCATAAAGAGAAGGTTTACCTGTCGTGATCTGCATATTCAAATCTTTTGTTGACAAATGTCCTTGGTCGGTAAACGTCGAGTTGTTTACCCGCTTCTAGTAAAGTTAACATGGACTACATGATGTCCGAATGATGACTTTGTCACTTTTGCCGTTTAACACCAAGTGTACGGACATGACACACACTCATTATTTGTCCATTTTTTTTATTTTTTTCAACGTTCCACTTTCCACTTCTTGCACGTGTATTTTTTTTTACGATTTGGAGTCGTTGGTTCTTGTTTATCCAGTATTTATCGTCGTTTTCAGTAGGAATATTGTTAGTTTTATGTGGTTCCTTGGCAATTATGCGTATTAGTGGAGGGAGCTATATGTACCAGTAGATTACAACAAGTTTGTCTTAAGAAAATACTCATCAACAGTGGTATGTGTATTAATTAGCTCAGACTTATCTTATTTAACAAGTTCGTCCTTTCACCTTAATCCGGTTTAAATATAATAAACACAAAGTACTCTAAACATCCTTCTCATTTTAAAATAGGTTTGAGAGAGAGAGAGAGAGAGAGAGAGAAAGAGAGAGAGAGAGAGAGAGAGGGGGTTTAACATCCACTTGACACAAACTAATTTAGCCCACCCCTTTTTCTCTGAGAGAGAGAGAGAGAGCGATGGGGTTTAATGTCCACTTGACACAAACTAATTTAGCCCAACATGATTAAACATGTATCATGCAAGAGCTAAATCTGCCTATTGTAGGTCTTTCTTTAGGCCTGAAATGTTATCAAAATTATTAATTAGACATTCATTAACATGTCCAGACCATAATTAACTCTCGATGCCATCGCTAGTCTGCGATATTTAACGGATTGGAATACATTTTTTAAAAAATAATTAAATGTAAAAATGGATAATCGAGACTTTGTGTTTTTATCGTACCGACTTTAATAATGATGATATTCAATCGCTAATATTTTGGTTCAGAGTGGAGAAATTTGACTGAAATTTGCGTTATCTATTTTTGAACTATGTATTATAGTGAGAACTGTCAACTCTCTATCTAATCTCCAATAATTCCCCTCTAATAGGGGTGGGGGTGGGCGCGGGGGTGGGGGTGGGGGAGGGGGGATGTATCTTAATTATTGCTGATGCTCATTTTGATTAATGTTTTTATTGTAATTTTATTACAGTAATTTATTTGTTTTATTATTAATAAATGACATTTTAAACTATATCAACATGTTTTAGTTGATTCTTGGATTGAGGCCGCACAGAAATGATTCAATTTAAATTTCAATTGGTGATCTATCTTTGTCATCAATCACAAAAACGTATGAATTCATTTCAAACCCCTGTCTTCATTAGCCCAGTCAGAGCAGAATAGTAGGACGTTAAACCTCATTTCATTTCATTTCATTTCAAAACCATTTTATTTCATTTCATTTTCATTTCAAGACCAATTAATTTTTGAAGTTATAAATATGGTAGAATGAGTTCGAGAGATTAGTGGGTAATTTGTTGTTGCAATTTATATTAACTTTTGGTACCTTGATGGCCTTCGAGTTCAGTGGGGCGTGGACGAAGTGCATACCATCACACTCATTATATCCACAGATTCAACACCCAGCCATTGTACCAGGGATCATCATAAATTTACACTACATTGCAGGCATTTTCAGGCATGTCATCGGAGGCATGTCTTTTGTGTGGGGTATTTTAATGGATGGCTCTGTCCGCGTCTGCTCAACCTCGTCTATAATTGGCTGTAACCGAGAGTGATATTACTATTGAACAGGTGTAAGATTGTCCAGATTCGTGAATTCTGATTGCTGTCATTAGCGAGGTGGATATTGTTCCAATCTCCCTTTCGTCCTTTCACTGACTTGTCCACTCAACCTTGAATGATTTCTGTATATTGTGTCCTGTTCTAGGATTTCTTGTGTAGTTGTTGTGTGTGGTGCGGTCCTCCTGCACTTACTATTAACCTTGAATATTGTTCCCCCTTCTCCAAGCTTTCACTCACTTGCCCACACAACCTTAAATATTGTTCCCCCCAACCCCCCATCTGTCCTTTCACTCATTTGTTCACATAACCTTGAATATTGTTCCTACCCCCCTCCTCTCCTTTCACTCACTTGTCCACACAACCTTGAGAATATTGACCCCCCCCCCCCTTCCCCTCCCCTCCTCTCCTTCTTCCTTTCACTCACGTGCCCACATGACCTTGAAAATATTTTACCGTCCCTCCTTCCCTTCTTCCCCTCCCCTCCTTCTTCCCTTCACTCACTTGCCCACACAACTTTGAATATTTTTCCTTCCCCCCTCTCCCTTCTACTCACTTATCCTTGAGAATATTGTACTATCCCTCCTTTCATCACTTGTCCACTAAACTTTGAAAATTTCTAATGATAATATATATTTGCCTTGTGGCAATTCCCCATCTTGTGACTAAAGCCTTGAAGCAATTTCAACTCACTCCAAGGTCATAAAAAAAAATAATTTGTGATTCAGTTTATTGACAATGACGTACATGTATATATAATTCTCGGAAAAATGACAAAAAATAAATTAGGGAAGAGTCATTATTGTAATAAACTGAAGTGAAATGGGGTTTAACATCCTACTTTTCTGCTCCAACTGGGCTAATGAAGACGGGCATATGCCATACAGTGTGCTATGAGGAAAATTTTGCCCATACAGCGGCACTAAGGCCTACTCTTATATTGAATTCCAACTCTCAAGGTATCTTTTAGGTGCACGACAATATGTACACAGGACCTCGGTTTTTCTGCCTGGGCAAAACTTCCCTCATAGCACACTGCATGGCGTATGCCCGTCTTCATTAGCCCAGTTTAGGAGCAGAACAGTAGCATGTTAAACCCCATTTCATTTCATTTCATTTCCATGTTGAAATATGTATGACCCAGCATAAGGTATGTTGTCTCGTGAAAATTACAAAATAATAATTGTTGAGAAATTTGCATTAGATCTAGACATTTTAGTGAAGAGATAAAACTGTTAAAATGAAATCCTTCAAAAAATGTAAATTCATGAACTTGAGTCACAATATTCCGTCATTGTTGAAAAATGAGCAATTAAAAGCGATGTTAAACGACCTACGCTTTCTCTCTCATCTTGTCGTCTGTCAGATTTATATGCGATAGAAATAAACATAAAAACAGGTCACATGACTAATATAACCCTGTTAAACAAACACATCAAATTATGTTTTTTTATATAAATTATAAATGTCCACATGTCTACCAGAAGTGTTTTCTTCTTATTTTTACTGTTTAATTTGTAGATGATGAATGAGCTAAAGTCTGGAGATATATTGGAGAAGAGAGAGAGAGGGAGAGAGGAGAGAGGGAGAGAGGAGAGAGGGGAGAGAGAGAAGGAGAGAGGGGGAGAGAGAGAGAGGGAGAGAATTTGACTGGTGTCAAGGCGGAGCTGCACCATGTAACAGTGCTGCGTCAATAATCCCAAGACATAGAAAAACATAAAGCAGGTGAGAGAGAAAGAAAGAGAGAGAGAGAGAGGGTGGGGTGTTAATGTCCACTCACACAAACTATTCATTTCGTCACTAAGATATTGATCAATTTTATTTCAATAATTTGCTTACCTATGGGGGGGGGGGGGGGAAGGGGAGGGTCTTCCGTAGGAAACAGGAAAACCCAGAGAAAAACCCACAAGGATGGACACGCGACCCTACGCCATGTCACATTAATGTCTTACTTTTCCACACTAACTGGGCTAATTAAGATGGGGACCGGGCTTATGAAGAAGGGTACCGGGCTAATGAAGAAGGGTACTGGGCTAATGAAGAAGGGGACCGGGCTAATAAAGAAGGGGACCGGGCTAATGAAGAAGGGTACCGGGCTAATGATGAAGGGTACCGGGCTAATGAAGAAGGGGACCGGGCTAATAAAGAAGGGGACCGGGCTAATAAAGATGGGGACCGGGCTTATGAAGAAGGGTACCGGGCTAATGAAGAAGGGTACCGGGCTAATGAAGAAGGGTACTGGGCTAATGAAGAAGGGGACCGGGCTAATAAAGAAGGGGACCGGGCTAATGAAGAAGGGTACCGGGCTAATGATGAAGGGTACCGGGCTAATGATGAAGGGTACCGGGCTAATGAAGACGCATACCGGGCTAATGAGGACAGGTACCAGGCTAACGAAGATGGGTACCAGACTTATGAAGAAGGGGACCAGGCTAATGAAGAAGGGTACCGGGCTAATGAAGATGGGTACTGGGCTAATGAAGAAGGGTACCGGGCTAATGAAGATGGGTACTGGGCTAAGGAAGACCCATACCAGGCTAATGAAGATGGGTGTATGCCAGGCCCATAACTAAGGGGGGGGGGGAGGGGTCGACCATAAAGACCCTCTAGATATACAATTTCCGTCAATTTTACAGCACCCCTGAACTAGTTACGGCCCTGGTGTCCGCTATGAAATATGCTTGGAGAACAGATATACCCTAGCAGACACTACCTGGCATGTTTTCATTATCCCTGTTTAGTACGGAAAAGTAAACCCCTGATTACCTGTCTTACCTGTTTACCTGTCTTATCGTAAAGTATAAATATAATTATAGATAAGGCCTTTTAAAACAGTTCATCATATTTTATATATGGTTACTTATCAATGTATATTTTGTAGATAAGACCTAATAGATAATAAATTTATAATATTGAACAGTATATATTATACAACACTACCCAATACTGTATGTCATTATAGTTTATATAACAGCTGCAGTAAACACATTGATAAAATAAAATAAAATGATATGGGGTTTAACGTCCTACTTTTCTGAACCAGATGGGCTAATGAAGACGGGCATACAAACCACTGCATTGGCCCGAGAAAGTTGATCAGGATTTTCCGACGTGGTTTGCCCTTGTCAGTGGTGCAGGACGGAGATCCTGACAAGGACAGCTGTCTAGTCGTTCGGATGGGATGAAAAACCAAGGTCCTGTGTAAACATTGGCGTGCATGTTGGAATTTGTTATAAGATATAATGTCCTACAGTGTGCTATGTGCTTCTTTTCTGAGAGGGGGTAGGTGGCCGTGAATGGTTCGCGTTGTATCATAAGGTCTGTCATTAGGTCAACTGGCGTGGTTTTCGATTCCCTGGTTGTACGTGACAAGGAGTAGGTTCGCCTGTCCAACCTTGTTGGTTTTCTCCGGACCCTCCAGTTTCCTCCCACTGCTAAAGACCCATACGCGCAAGCGAATTACTGAAATAAAATTGAACCATATGCTAGTCCCGAAATGATCTAGTTTGTGTCGAGTGGATGTCAAACTTAAACATCATTTCTCTCTCTCTCTTTCTTGGGAAAACCTGTTAAAATTTTCCTTTTCATTTGGGAGAAGAAACTAAAGAACTTAGTTGTGCTGTTCAAGAGCTTTTAGCTCCAAATTCATTAGTTCCGAAATGACTTGGTTTGTTTCGAGTGGGCGTTAAACCCCATTTCTCTCTCTCCCTTCTTTTCTGCACCAGATGGACATGGACTAAGGAAGACGGGCAGTGTTCAAGGAAGGAAATTTTGCCCGGACAATGTGTTTACCGTCTACTCTTTATCAAATTTCAACTGTCAAGGCTTCTTTTAAGTGCATGCCAATCGGCACACAAGGGTATGTAAACTTTGCCGTTACACTCGGGCTATGGTTAAATTTGAAGGCCCCTTGTGAAAGTTTGAATATTTGATAATCATAAAGTAATAAGTATTCATGATAATAAAATATGTTGGTCTGTTACAGGTGTATCGTTACAGGTGTATCGTTACAGGTGTAACATTATAGGTGTAGTCGTTGGTCTGTTACAGGTGTAATAGTTGTTAAATTTTACTCATTGCACTTGTTAACAATCTGCTAAAATAGAATAACTAGCACTGAAAAACAATTTGTCTGGTGTCAGGGCCGAGCCGGACAGTACACTCTGTAACAGTGCTGCGTCAATAATCTCAAGACATAGAAACACATCAAGCAGGAGAGAGAGAGATGGGGTTTAACCTCCACTCAATCTCATTTTGGGACTAACATATGGTTCAATTTTTTTTCAATAATTTGCTTGCATGTCAGGGGTCTTTAGCAGTGGGAGGGAAGTGGTGAACCCGGAGAAAAACCCTCGAGGTTGGACAGGCAACCCTACTCCTTGTCAGACCTTATCATACAGCACGCATATGCTAACTGAGGTTAACGGCACATAACTGATTAAAAACAGAAACAATTGAATGTAAATCAGTTTATATACATTCATATTACATTATTATATGCATTGGGACCCATTTGTGTCAATTTCTGGGTCCCAAATATTAGCGATTTAACCAACCAATAAAAAACCTAACAAACCTAACAAATCAGATTCACAGCTTTCACGAATTTAAAGAAAAATAACGTCACGACTTAAAACTAACGATACCAACATTAGTCAACTGGCTAAATCAATATTTTGGCATTTTCTGTAAATATGTAATTAGCAGGACGGCCATTTGTAATGTTTGTTTATCATTAGCGAACAGGAGTCCAGTTCTGTTTCGTCAAGTTTGACTTCATGCCCAATGGATTCACGTCTTCTCCACTTCTCAATGAGGATCAAAGAAAATCTCGTCACTTAAAGTACAGAAATACCTTTTTGATTTTAAATCTTTTTTAAAACTAAATATGAACTGAGTGGGCAGACGGACTAACTACGTGTGATTCTGTTCATGTATCGTCACTGGATGTAATTCGTTTGCTGGATCGTCTTAATATGTACTTGGCAAATAGTTTCCACGGTGGTGATATCGACAACAAATTTATAGGCGTACAGGAATATTCAAATTTGGAGGGTCACAAGTTCAGATGCCCAATCGTTTGAATTTGACCCCTGCCACTCTCCGTCCCATCCATTTTACAAAAAGTCTTCAATGTAAAAAAAAGTGTGGGCACTCAAATATTTAGGAGTGATCCAACTGTTTGTTTCAAAATGGAATATCCGAATTTGGAGGGTCACAAGTTCAGATGGCCACTTGTTTGAATTTGCCCCCTCAACCCCCACCCAACTCCCCAACTCCCATTTTACAAATATTTAGGGGTGCTCCATAACACAGTTTGCTCTCCAAAATGGGATATTCAAATTTGGAGGGTAACAAATTCAGATGCCCAATTCTTTGAATGTGCCCCCCATTTTACAAATATTTAGGGGTGCCTTATAACACACCTGTTTGAAAATGGATCAAGATGCTTACCTTAAACCCCATTTCATTTTACATAATTAACAAATAAAGTTTGCTACTTTATCTCAAGGTGAAAATTTATTCAAAAGTGTGGGGGCAAGTTGACAAAATAAAATAAAAACAGTGTATAGAAATGTGTATTTTTACATACAGGTGTTATATGATAAAGTATACAGTTAACTTATGTAAATATGTACTCTAGAATTTAATTCAACCAGTTATAGTAGAGAATAACTACCACCACCGGCATTTCATTCTAACAGATAAACTTTCTTTTATTAGATTAATTCTACTGGAATAAACATAATATAACCAGATTCTAATTCATTCATTCATTCATTCATTCATTTGTCATTCATTCATTCATTCATTGGTCAGTCAGTGGTTCATTCATTTGTTCATTCATTCATTTTCATTCATTTCATTCATTTTCATTCATTTCATTCATTTCATTTGTTCCTTCCTTCATTCATTTGTCCCTTCCTTCATTCATTCATTCATTTGTCCCTTCCTTCCTTCATTCATTTGTTCCTTCCTGTTCCTTCCTTCATTTATTTGTTCCTTCTTTCATTCATTCTTTCCTTCCTTCACCATTCATTCATTTGTTCCTTCCTTCATTCATTTGTTCCTTCATTCATCACTCATTCATTCATCATTCATTCATTCATTCATTTTATTTCATTCATTTGTTCCTTCCTTCCATCATCATTCATTCATTCACCCATTCATTCATTCACCCATTCATTCATTCACCCATTTGTTCCTTTCCTCCTTCCTTCCTTCCTTCATTTCATTTCATTTCATTTCATTCAAACACTGAGTCAGTCAGAAATTTAAATCAAAAGAAAAGACATCTTATAGTTTTTAGAAATGTAAAATTTATGGCTTTGTGGGGATCCAAATCTTTTCATTCATTCCTTTCATTACTTCAATCTTTCATTCCTTTATTCTTCCATCCTTTATTTATTCATTCATACAACACAAACCTCTATTGGAATATGCATAATATAGGGGGATCCTAATTGTTTCATTCATTCATTCATCCATTTATTCATTTTATCTCTCATTTGTTCATTTTTCATTCATTCATTTATTTTATCTCTCATTCATTCATTCATTCATTCATTTATTCTATCAATCATTCATTCATTGAACAACCCAGCTAGTCACATTTGTAAATCAACAGAAATGACAAACTCACAGGTTTTTTTAGAAATGTTAAATTCGCTGATACATCCCAGATTTACATGAAATTTACATACACCTGTACTCACCTGTGCTCA